CACAATGTAGCCACTTTTATTTTCTACATATTCAGAGGCAAAAGTACAACGCTTTAGAATAAAACTATTATTAGTTACTGGGCAACCAAATGCTTATCTACACTGAGCAAGAAATTCACTAGTGAAAATCACTTGCATCAGAAAAAAAATGTGTACAATATAGGAAACTTTTAGCTAAATATAATTTTGATGCATTAAAGGTGAATAAATGTAAATGTGTAATAAAGAAAATGTTTTTTGAATCTTTATATTATATACTATAGTTCATTAATCTTAATACAAATGTTATTCAACATAACTTTTACATATTTACACACTTTTGACTACAAATTAAAAATCAAAGGGCCTGTTTACAAAAAATATATATAACGGTTAATGCTTAACGTAAATGTAATTATTTCTTTATCAAAACCAGTTGATGTAACAAGGAGAAGCATAATACCTTTATGTATGTGGAATCGATGATCACGATTTCGTTGTCCATTTGACCCCATCACGTCTAGATCAAGGTCACATGGTTTAATTGAAAATAACATTATGCTTACGGTTGGTGTCTTGTATGGTGCTCTCATTTGGCCATAGTTAAGCAACAATAAAAATTTTACATTTTAGAAAAATAGTTTATTTCATCTCATGTTTCAGCATTTAATTATATTTTTTTAAATTCGACCAATCAGCACAGTATTACTTTGATAGAACTTAACCTTTAGTAAAACTTTATGGCGGTAATTTTCCATCAAGCAAGAAATGTATGTAAATACAAAACGAAAATTATTTACAATGGCTTGAATAAACAAAACAAAAATTTCCAAAGCATTTGCCCTTGAATAATGACAAACTATAATAAATTCATTTAATGGGGGATAGTCTCTGGTCTAGCGCAAAAATTTTACAAGGCTGCTACAGTTGATTTCGCATGGGGAAGATGCAACAAATTGTATCTTCCCCACAACAAATTGTGTTAAACAATACTTCAAAGAAGAACTTGATAATAAAGGCATTTAGACAGGTAATGAAAGCCGATAGTTTCACCTAATATCTACAAATTTTTATTGGTGTAGATAGATTTGAGTATTACAAGATTTTTCCTGAAAAAATCAAAGAGCCAATGAAAATAGATGTCCTGGAAAATTAATTTCTGTAAGAAGATATAACACAACTATAAAAAAATGTCTAATGCCTAATCAATTTCAGAAAAAAGAATAATGACACGGCTTTTATAAAAATTATCCTTTGGGTAAAAGTGAAATTTTAAGGTGGGCAAGAAATTCTGCAAAAAACAACACAACAGCTGTAAGTAACATAGTGTTGATGAACAAAAAATTATAAAAATTACAGGACATTTAATGCAACTTCCATTAAACTATATTTACCACCACTCAAATATTATTCGAAAAATGGAACCGTTCAGAAAATTAATAATTTTCAGCAAGATCAACTTCAGCAAGCAATAGTATTCAACAGCAGTGTACAAATCTCGATCTAATGTCGCAGAAGAACATGAAAAAAACTGTAATATATCATAACTGGAAATTTTTCATTAACTGTTCAAATTTTAAACATAACTAACAATATACAGGGTGTCCCCAGTTCGGGTTGAATATACCTGAAATGGATACAAAATTTCAATTGTCAAAAAAAATCATTCTTTATAAAAAAAATTTCATGTCTAGAAGCCCTTGGCAAGATAGTCATTTGTTCAATTTAATGTACAGGGTGTTCAAAAATTTGGAAAATGTAAAAGCAGTACGGAGTAAAGTACCTTATATCTTAACGCTACGTGAAAAAGTAATGGGGAAAAGTGGCTTGGAATTAAATTTTATGTTGAAATATGAAAGCATAGCCTTCTAGTTAATACTCGACATTTTGGGATATCCTAGGACTTCTTATTTTTTAATACTTTCGGAGAAGCCATTCTATTAAATCTAAATATTGCTTTATATAACAGCCAACAGATACACATTTTTGAATATTAATAATTTATTTTTTATACAGGGGGATCAAAAACCTCAAAAACATTAATCCAACATTTATCTTGAGAACACAGCAGAATCAATATGTACGCGCCATTACAAAACTATTCTACATGAAGTCCGCCAAGTTCAACACACCTCTCCAATATGTTTCTAAATGCAGCGTAGGTCGAATGTATCATTTCTTCATTTACTTGGGTAACGGCTTCAATTATCCTGCTTTTCAAGAAATCAACATTGTGTTGCACTGGTTATCTGTACACTCTTTCTTTCAAGAAACCCCAAAGGAAATAATCAAACGGCGACAAGTCAGGAGACCTTGCTGGCCAACAAATATGACCATATCTTCCTATCCACTTCTCTTGAAATTTTCTGTTAAGCCAATTGCGGACTAGAATTGTTGAGTGAGCGGGACATCCGTCTTGTTGGAAATACGCCTTTGTCTATATTCCAAATGTTCTTCTTCTAATTCTGGCCAGAAAAACGTTCTCCGAAAGTATTAAAAAATAAGTAGATTCCTAGAATATCCCAGAATGTCGAGTATTAACTAGAAGGCCCTGCTTTTATATTTAAAGATATAATTTAATTCCAAGCAACTTTTCCCCATTACTTTTTCACGTAGAGTTAAGATTTAAGGTACTTTACTCTTTACCGATTTTACCTTTTCCAAATATTTGAACACCCTGTACATAAATTGAACAAATGACTATCTTGCCAAGGGCTTCTGGACAAGCAAAAATTTTTATGAGGAATGATTTTTTTTGACAATTGAAATTTTGTATCTATTTCAGGTATAGGCAACCCTGTATATACCTATAAATATCTAATATTGAGTTCCAACACAAAAATTAAATTAAATATACTTAATAATTAATAGTAATAATAATATAATAATTTTGAATAAATACTGTATGTTGTGTTATTCAAAAAACAAAAAGTGCAAAGGGCATATTTTTGGGAAATAATCTTAATATACATCTTGACGTTCCAGTTTGTCACACAAAACTTGCATAAATAAATTGCACAATTTTTTCTTTTTAAAAATGTTTTTGACTGAATGAATCTTTGAAAAAAATTCCTCGAGCTTCGCTCTCGTAATTTTTTATTCGAATTATTCTGGCTCAATAATTTTCGAAGCAAATTTTGCAAAAAATTGTTTATGCAATTTTTTTCCGGCAAAAAATGAAGATATCAGGATATAACCCATGAGAATATAATAAATATTGTAATGGATTGAAAATGTAAACAGAAATCACGATTGAAAAATTACCTGACTGAACTTTAGTCCAAAAATTAAAATTAATTATTAATATAGCAAACAATAAAATAGCATAAAATTGTTAATATAAAGACTCTGAATATAAAAGAAGTAATTATAAAGGATATCACATAGTATTAAATTGATAATTTTAAATTTAATTCACAAATATAAAATAAATTTTTAAAAGAATGCATGACAGCGACACTTGTTCACAAGAAATACTATGAGAAAACATAATATAAAACCAGAGTGACATATATCAAAAGACAGCTCAATATTCATAGATGAATTTGATATGCATAATTTGGGTAGACGAGTAACTGTAGAGAAGATATCTTAAATGAACTGAAGTCAAATATGAAAATTTATTATCAAATGTCAAATTAAATTATAAATTTTATCAAATGTCAAAACTAAAGGTGGCTTTACAAGTACCAGAAAATGACCTAGAAAAAAGAACAGAAAATAAGGAATATTTAATAATATGTAATAAATTTATATGTTAAAAAATAAAAGGACATTGTAACAAATGTATTAGGTATAAGAAGTGCAGTGAAAGTGTTGTGAAAAAGGGTCGCCCAAAGACTGAAATTTATGTGAAGAGACCTTATAGGAAAATAAGGACTGGAAATTTCTAGAAGCAGGAAAAACAAATGTTTATTTACTAGTTACGACTTGTTTTTTTGGTAAAAAGCTAGAGAGGAGAAATAGCTCAAACAAAATTTACATAATTCAAGAAAAAACGGTTAAGAAGTGAATTAAAACTTACTAGTAACATCAAAAATTGTTTGTCTTCAAAATCCACATAAAGAAAGTCGACAATGAAGAAAAACTTTGCAACAATTATCAGGCAGTATCCGGAAAGGGATTCCAGTGGCACATAAATGGTACCACAGACATCGTCAGCGTTTCCAACAAGGAAAGAAGTACTCAGTAACCAACAGGTCCCTAAAATTAGAAAGTAAAGTGCACTAAAGTATTAATTCATAGCTATAGCTTACAAATAACAAAGTATTAATACAGTATACCTTAGAAAAGGAAAAATTAATATAACAGGACTTACCTGCACACATTTAGATACTAGCAATCCAAAAACTAGCTTTAAAAACTCTAATATTGAATGAACTCACAACAAGTGTTTAAAAGGACGGCCATCTTAATTTAAACGTCATATCGTATTAATTTAGAATTGTAGATATGCAATACAATAAACGGGCAAGTGGTTAAGGCAGTATCAATCAGAAATAAAACAGTAAAAATTTTGAAAATAAAAAGGAAAAATACCCAGTCCTTGTATTGTAAAAATTGTTGTAGGATAAGTAAAGGTACAGAAAACTCAAAATATTCTTTAGGATTGTTCAAGTTAAAAAATTTCATTTATACGAAGTCATTTCTGATTTAAAGCCAACCAGTTGAAAATTTTGTTTTCTTATAATCTCCTTAATGAATTTAAATAAATATTGTATAAAATTGTAAAAACTCTATTTTCTGGCGTGCTGCATTGAGCGAGTTTAGGAATGAATGACACAGAACCGACTCCTGAGATTCAATTTAAAACAAATATCTGAGAGTGACAACTAGCAAGGGATAAAAAAATTTAATATACGGGGTGAATAAAAAATAAGGTTTGTATTCAACAATTTACAGTTAATTTCAATATAAATAAAAACAATACTCAATACACAAAACTTGACTAAAATTAAATTAAAATTAAAATAAATTAATTTTATTATTAATATCATAACAATATATATCATTATCTACGCTTTAAGAAAAAAATGTGTAATCATATTTATTTCCTCAAAAACATTTCAAACATCTCAAAAAGTTATGGAGTGCTCACATAATATTTTAAATTTGTACCATACAATTTATACCAAAGTAAATTCACTTAAATCAATATTTTGACACAACGAAGCGCCCTTTCAAGCACGGCCTGCTCGCTTCTTTACTTCCTGTATATTTCACCACTTTGAAATCATCATCCAACAACAACCTTGAAGACACAATTAGGAGTAAACCTTGAAGCCGAGTAATGAGTGTATCTTGCATACTTCCCTACACTTCTCCACAACTGAAGGCGTTTAAGATCCTGTGTATTGAACCACTGTAAATTAAATTGTGCGGCGTTAATGGCTAAAATTTAATTAAACGCAATAGCTGCGTAAGACACATCCTGTGTTTATAATAAAGCTATTTCTAAAAGGATAAGTAAATATTAATTAGTTTATGCTAATTTCCCGCACATCCCCATTCAGGTTGGCCACAATGGGATCAGTCAACAAAGACCTATATTGTTGATCGTATGACACAAGACCCACGCAGAACGTGTATTCGGACTCATTCCCTTTATAAACCAGAGCCGGCCGGGTCACGTAGTATTTCTCATAGTTACTTGATATATTAGTACCTCGATATATGTAGACCTGAAACAAAAGGATTCCATTTAGGAAGGCGGATTTAGGCGCCTGTAACGGAATATGTTGGTGGCTTTTGTTAGACCTGATATAAAAATGTTATTTTCGTCTGACACGGGTCGAATAATATATCCTAACGTAATATGTGCCCGGAAAAGCACATAATTTCGACTCTTAGGAGAAAATATAGTTTATTAGAATAATTTCCGTCCCACGATATTGGCTAATTAAATAACATAAGAAATATAGAGTGTCGCCTATCAAGAACCAGAACACCAGGTTTTTCTTTATAAAAAGTAGCCTTCAAGATGTACCTGCTGAACTAATTACAGTGATTCAGTCGGTATACCATGGCCAACTAATATTTTTAGGAACAACAACTAGCAATTTTGTTAATGAAAATCTAATTACGTGACTGTTCGCGAAAATGAATGGACGTAATCTATTTTGAATCTATTTTGATAATGAAGCATGGGATCGTTCTTTAGAGGAGGATATTTGCAAAACATTTTTTTAATGGGTATTCTCTTAATTTTCACAAAATTATCATTTTCCTCAAAGTTACAATGTTGTGAAGTTTGGAAAACAGAATGATAATATCAAATTAAAATTTATATAGATAATTGGATCAATCAATTGAAAAAAAATTACAAATATATGTGGAACCCTTTGCAAGATTTCAGTGTCAGCTGTCCTTATTTTAATTTTTTACTTCTCAAATTTCGTTCGAAATTTCTTTCGTCGCGAAAGGTAAGTTATATAGGTCTAAAAATGATCCCTAAAAAATCTAAAATCCTTGTCTCCCAAGTATTTTCAATGTTCAATTTATGCGTCAATTTTTTTATGCAAACTTAAAATTTTCAATTTATGAAACTTTAAAGCATAGCAGTTACTGAAAATGCCTGAAAAGTAAAAAGTAACCTATTACTGACACTGCTGCGAGTAAAATTATGTAAATTAATTAAGCCGTGCCGAAAATTATGAAAATACGTTATAGGCAGACTCTATCACTTACTATGTTTAATCATTAGTGTAAATAATTAGTTATTTTTTAATCGTCAGGCATTTCTCCAGCCTCCTAGATCTTCGGAAACCTCCTAAACTGAAACAGAAATTTCACTAATTTTGAATACACTGCATTATAAAGGAACAAAATTTTAAATTCTCCAGTTCTAAAAGATGCTGATTAAGATTACATAACCGATCTTTTTATATAAGAATTTTTAAAATGATTTTCCCAAACATTTAGTATAAAATATAAAAACAACTTCTCTGCTACAGTTTTCCTACTGTACTTATGTATTGTATTTTATAATTCATCTGCTGTTGCGAAATTTGTTTAATACATAGTTCCATATTAATTACTGTTCTCAACAGTATACACTTCTTTAATGCTTTTTTAATTACAGTTATAGTTTATATTTCTTTAATGGTTAAATAATAGAAATATCCAGTTACACGTGTTATACAATAGCTTTAAAAGTAATTTGCGAATATTTCCTTGTATTCATAACTCATATTGTATCTTCTCCATATTACTGTTTTTTTATTTTTTGGAAAGAAGTATTAGAACAAGCTGATGTGTTTTCTCGTTAATAAAATTGACATACGATAAAAATAACAAAGTAAAGCAAATTGTTGTTCAGAAGTTAAATAACATATAGGTACTAGGTCCATTCAGACAATAACCGAAATTTTTTAATTTCGCGCTAATGGAACCTAAAATTTTGCATGAAAGTGGGGAAAATTTTCACGGAAACGTTTCAACTTTTGAAACAAGCTTACGGAGATGATGCTTTGGGTCGCACGCAATGTTACGAATGGTTTTCACGATTTAAAAGAGATTGTCAAAGATTTGGTCATGAAAATCGCCGATTGACTGTCGGAGAAATTGCAGCACCGAGTTGCAACAAAACTTGTTCCTCATTTGATGACCGAACAGCAAAAAGAAAATCGTGTGTACGTTTGTCGGGAACTCCTTAAACAATCCAATGACGATGAAACATTAATCCAAAGGATCATAACGGAATACGAGAGCTGAGTTTACGACTATGATATTGAGACAAAAATTAAGTCATCACAATGGATTCGCAGAGGATCTCCACGCCCCAACAAAGCACGTCAGTCTCGATCCAATGTCAAAATGACACTCATTGTTTTTTTTCCAACTATGGAAGTGTGCATTTTGAATTCTCGCCACAAGGTGAAATAGTGAACCGTGTGTACTATCAAGGGTTTTACAACAGTTACATGAAAAAATCCGCATAAAGAGACCAGAGTTATGGCGAGACAACTCGTGGCTCTTGCCCCATGACAATGCAACCGCACACTCAGTTTTGACGATTAGCCAGTTTTGTGTCAAAAATCAGATTACTGTCCTCCCTCACCGTCCATACTCTCCAGAAATGGGACCTTGTGATTTTTTCTTATCTTCGAAATTAAAATCAGTGCTAAAAGGGCATCGTTTTCAGGCTATTAATGACATCAAAGCAAATTTATCACAGGCTTAAAACCATTTCAAATGAAGCTATCCAGGACTGGGAACACAGCTGGGAAAAGTGTGTGGATAGGGGAGGGGAGTACTTTGAAGGAAACAAAGACCAATAATGTATAAAATTGGTCACAAGGTTTAAAAAAATAAAGGTTCGGTTATTTTCTGAGCAGACCTCGTACATGAAATATTTACAATAAAAGTATATGTATTTTTTTGTTAAATTACGAGTCATTGTAATATATAATCATTTTTAGTTTATTTTACATTTATAAATATATCTTTACCTACAAGGTAAGTTTGTAAAATTGGTGGATTTTTTCTCAGCAATCAAAATGTTTTAAGAGTAATATTTTTCCAGTAATCAACACTACAAACTCAAGTCTTACGTTAGCCAAAGTGACAATAGGTCAACATTTTTTATCAAGGTAGTAGTCATCAATAGTCAAATTAAGATACACCCTATATATATTTAAGAAAGTTTAAAACCAACCTCGTAATAGACCCTGTCGATATAATAGGGTACGAACGGTTCCGACCAATAGATCAGGAATGCTCCGTCTGGATTTGACGTGATTCGAACTTTATAGGGTTGAAGGAAATTCGGGACTTTGTATGTGACAATGTCTGTGGTTTGCGATCCTGGAAAGTTAGTGGATACTTTGATGTCGAATCTAGCGCCGTAATTCGCCTTAAAATGGTAAACGGAATCCACTCGTTTGCTGCCGGGCAGAGTTACGATGGTATACCGAGCCGAACTCCTCTCGAAAGCGGATATCTGAAACAATGATATTTAATCTTCAATATACCTATGCAATATCAATAAATGCTATTATTAATACAATGAAAGTTTTCAAAGGACGGTTTCCTAAATAAACAGCAGATGAAGGTTATCTACAATTTATCCAATTAACTTTCAGAACGTATGTGCCATTAAAAATAGAATTAGAACTACCAAAGAAAGTTACAACAAAATATTTACAGATTTCGAGAAAAAAATGTTTTAAGTTTTTATGTTTAAAAGTACCACATAGTTGGGCGACTGTAGCGTGTTTATTAAATTGTATCTTGTTTTGTTTTTTGTGCCCGCCCCTTCAGGTACTAGCATTTGATTTGACAAATGACTACTTATTCAGAATTACTATGGTTTTGAAAGTGATTCTATTACTGAGATTTATTGTTTACATCAGTCTTACAAGTGTGCTAAATGACCTACGCATAAACATCACACAATTAATTAATATTGTTTTAATTAAGAAGCAAGGCAAAATGCATTAGCAGAACGTTTTCCTTGTATAAAAGTACAGAATTCTGTTAGCTTTGCCGAGGTGATTCAACGAGGGCTTAAAAGGAATTTTTGGACCAAATCGTGGGCGAAGTGGAAGTTGTCTTCGTTTATATCATATCGTAGCAGCGGAGGAACAAATTTTAAATATTGTGGAAGAAAATCTCTGTGTAAGTACAAGGCAAATAGTTGGATTTTGCCTTGAGTATCACAATCCACAGTGTAGCACATGTTACACGATGCTCAAATGAATCCCTATCATATGCAGCGAGTCCAAGCATTAGTATCAGCTGAAAAAAGCTCTAACTCAGCTGAAGAAGAGATACGAAGTTGGTTAAATTACCTGCAGAAAAGTTGTACAGTTTTATACGATTTTAGAGATTATGCAAACAAACTGAAGACAGACAAAATTTGAAAACTTGATTTTTCATATTATTTTCATTTATATCTATTTTATTATTGAAGGTAGTAGAACCAACAGTATGTACGTCATATTCTCTATATGTTAAAAATTTTCCTGATCCTACTGAATCACCATACAGTGAGTCCAAGATAAGAATGGGATAGCATTGGGATCTAGGAAACGGAGATATGGGGTGGCTCAAATTAGCAAAAAGTTGTTTTTTTATACCTAACAATATGCCGTTTAGAAAGTTTTAAAATTCCGGGTAGTTCCGGAGATATCCGGAAAAATCCGAAATTTTGAAAAATCGTTTTATTTTTTCTGGCTTTATTTAAAAACAAATTTTAAAATAAATTGCATAGGTATTTTCATTGCCACTTTTTTGTTCTATCCAATGGCGTCAACATTTTTGCAATGCGACATTTCGTCTTCGAGAGGCCATCATCAGGTTATTTTTTTTTAAGTACGTCGCTGCTATTTTTAAGACAAAATCTAGTCATTTTTAATTCTGAATTAGAGATGAGAATACTATTGTAATCGCTTAAAAAGGTTTTTAGCTTGTTTTAGCTATCATTTAAAAATTTTTCCTGAGTACAGCTCTGAACGCTTTCAAAATATCTATTGAAGGAAGTCATAACAGTATAAAAGTCAAGACAGCGCAAAATATCTAATATTTTTTTTAATCGATAATTTAAAAAATTTTACCTAATAAAAAAATAATACGAATTTATGAAATGTTTTATTATTTCTAACTAGTATTCCTAATAGTAGTAAAAAGAAATTGTTGGATATTTTGTACTGTATTAACTTTTATACTGTTATGACTTCCTCCAATAGATATCTTGAAAGCGTTCAGAGCCGTCCTCGGAAAAAATTTGAAATTATAGCTAAAAAAGCTAAAAACCTTTTTAAGCGATTATAATACTAATATCATCAATTCAGAATTAAAAATGATTTTGTCATAAAAATAGCAGCGACGTATTTAAAAAAATTAACCTTGAGGGTTGCTTTCGCTGTACAGCAAAAATAAAACGCTCTCAACGGTACAAATAAACTATTTTTATTGAAAACTAAGTTTGTGAAAAAAGACGTGTTGTCGGTTCGGGTGTTTGCTGGAGAGTCAGTCCTCGTGTGAGAGTCGCTCGCAAAAGTACCTGGTCCTTGGCGCCAATCTGCCGGGGTAATCTTCCGGGAACCCTGGTGCGTCCGGGCGTCAGGATGGCGCTATTGACATTGTACTTAAAAATGGGTCACTTGCAGCATGTGTACCCACAACCTGATGATGGCCCCTCGAATACGAAACGTTGGATTGCAAAATGTTGACGCCATTGGATAGAGCGAAAAAAGTGGTAATGTAAATATGCAATTTATTATAAAATTCTTTTTCAAATAAAGCCAGAAAAAAATAAAATGACTGCAAAATTTCGAGTTTTTCCAGATATCTCCGGAACTACCCGGAATTTTAAAACTTTATAAACGGCATATTGTTAGGTATAAAAAGACACAACTTTTTTCTAATTTGAGTCACCCCGTATATCTTACCGTTTCCTAGATCCTAATGCTATCCCGTCCTTATCTTGACACACTGTATATTTACTCATTACTATATTATGATTTTCTATAAACGTCGTATTGAACTTTCACATCATAATATGAGACGAAGTTATTAGTTCATTGGGTTAACAAATTTAGGTCAACCAATTTCGACAGAGGTAAATCAAAAGCAAATAAAAATATAACATTGTCTTTAAGAGTACCAGAAGTATAATTTATTAATTATTTTTATTAAGAATTTGTTTTTAACATTAATATTCGCTAGTGAAGAGTTGGACAATTTATATTTTATGGTTAGTAATATCGGAGTTGAAAATGTAGAATTAATTTTTAATTCTAGGAACAATCAAAATTATTCACTATTTTCATGTAACATTTTTTATAATAAAAATGGTTCAGTTTTTGATATCTATTAATCCTAGCAAACGCAGTCGTTCTAATCCAAAAACGTCCTCAATAATAATGTCAGTAGTTCCTGCAATTGACTGATCTTGGAATTGTTGTCTGACGATATATACTGATCACACCAATAATTAAGTTTCAGCTGCAGGAAAGGAATGAATGCATTGCATGTGTTTTGCAAAGTATTTTCCCACCCTGATGTTGCATCCTCGAACACCCTATATATTTTTAACTATATTATGTAAGTTATTAATCAAAGACTACCAGTCATATCCAATATATCTCAAGTAAAAATATTACTCTTGATTTTGTTTTAGCTTGGTAAAAGAAATTAGTGACAAAATGTCGTCCTAGTAATAAAACTTCACCTAAACCAAACTAAAAACGATTGATTTAGATTATAACTGTTTGATGAATTGCTGAGTATTGTGTCGGATAAGAGCAGTCGACTGTCTTTTAGATAGAAAAACTTTGAAAAAGTACCGTCCAAATCCAACTTTGAAATATATTTCTTATCTGACAAACACGTCTTTGTATATTTTCAGGATATCAATATATCGTGAAATATTGTAGAAAACAATGTAACTATGGTCAGCATTGGAAAGCATAAATTTAATAAATGTAGTGTATGTTTCAAACTAAATAAAACTACTAAAATTAAAATTAATACCTATTATATTAGTAATTCTTATTATAGTAAATGAAAAAGAAGACTTAGAATTTGCCTTCCCCAGCCTACAATGCCTCTAATTTAAATAAAACATTACTATAATTAAAAAAAGTCTTTTTATATCTAACATCGTAAATAATTCACACAGTTATTATTTTTTTATTGTTATCTTTTTCCTGCTCTTTGGTGATTATCGCTGCCTCCGTAAGATATGCAGAAATGTAAAAGAGATTTGGGTGAATACTAATTCGAGCTTCCTTCTCTCATCAAATTCTAATTTGCATCCTTCTTTTCTAAGTTGAAACCCGTCTACTCACATCATTTACCACAGAGAATATTTACGGTATTGATCCATTCATCATAACCAGCGCCATCTTTTCTCTGTGGCCGTTGCTGATAAGAAAAATCGTCTGTTCGGAAAGCAGAAATACACTATTGTTACGAAGTAGACTATAAGTTATGTAGGTATTCCTTGGTATGAGAAGATGCACGTAGTCACAAAATTTATGTAAAAATGTGATAAATATTTGGTCCACAGGGTGATTTATTAAAACTGGAAATATTTATATGATAGGTTAGTCTACCACGTAAAAGACCACTTGTGAAATTTCAGGTCAGTCAAACTCATTTTTTCTATTTTTATTGTATCCTAATTTATCTTATTCCAACAAACCTTCCAACATTTTTGCTAAAAGCGGCTTTTTCATATGATTAAAAGCAAATTGTTATCCGTACACGCTTTTATCCGAATATCGAAATTAAGTGAGAATCCTAATTTGGATAAAGCTGTTTATACTTGGTTTTTACAAGAGAGGTCTAGAGGCATGTAATTTTACAAATATCTGTCTTTATGGCCCACGTAATAAAAAATTATTATTATAGGTACTCCTATGTCTGGTGAGTTTACTGCGAAAAAGCCAATTTTTTTATACACAATTGTATGAAGACGATGATTTCAAGGCAAGCGCGGGTTGGCTTTAAAATTTTCAAAACGAGTTACCCATATCAGGAGAAAAGTTATCCACTGACCCTACGGCTATTGGTCCCTTCAAACTACAGTTTCTTAAGAAAATTAAAGAACTGACTGCAGAGCAGATTTACAATGCCGATGAAAGCGGTTTCTTTTTGGAAAATGTAGAAGCAAAAACTTTCGTTCATGTTAAGGAAACTGCAGCACCAGGAAGAAAACAAAATAAAGAGCGAATTATGTTTATGCTGTGTTGCAAGTCCACAGGCACTCACAAATTAAAATTGTTAGTTCAGAGAAAATCAAATAAACCACGCTGATTTGAAAAAATGGCGTGGGTGACAAGGGAAATTTTCACAGAATTGTTCCATAAATGTTTTGTTCCTGCCTTGCGTCAAAAAATGAAATTGAACATGTCTCCCAAAGCGGTTTTGATACTAGATAATGCACCTGGTCACCCAGTAGAATGAATTAGCTAATGCCGTGTTTTTACCACCCAACTGCACACTGCTGATTCAACCAATGGATCAACACGTGATCCAAGCTATAAAACTACACTACTGCAAGAAACTCTTGAGAAATATTTCAGAAGAACTAAAAAAAAAATACTTTGAAGGATGTTGTGTTTGAACTGGCAGAGGTTTGGCAGTGCGTGAAGAACAATTTGATAAACAGTTCTTGACGACAACTATTACCCCCAGATATGTTGGATCCATGGGAAGATGAAGATTTATTTTATCTTTCTACAATGTAAAAAACATTGAAATCACAAACTACTGGAACTGAAATGAGTGAAATGCTAGATCTTGCAAAACAACTGTCAGACGTTCTAACAGAAGAAGAAATTCAGAAATTGTTGCTGAGAGAAAAAGATGCAGTGGAAACGATGAATGATAATGACATATTACAGAGCATAGAAAACGTGGAGGAGGAGGAGAGTGAAGAAGAAACTGGCTATTTTGACAAATACATAGCATGAACAAAAGATAATAGAGAAGAGTCTTGCCACATACTTCTTTTAGAGCAAATGCAGAACACAGCAAAGAAATTAGAAAAGGATGCTCTTACCCAACGGAAGATTATATTTTTTTAAAAAGTGAACTACATCCAAGAAATGTATTTTGAGTTGCATTGATACTTTAAATAAAGATTTTCCTACATATTTGCATATCAAATTTGATTATCCGAACAAATCGGTTATCTGAACAGTGGCTTACAATAATTAGTTCTGATAATCGAGGTTCCGCTGTATATATTTTAAAAGTTTTATTTAATATTACATAAATGTTACATGAATTTTACTTGAACATTCCATGGCAACAGGTTACCACGGAAGGCTCAAGGAATTTTACCATACTTTTTATTCCAGTATACTTTAGCTTCGTCTTTAATAGTCTCACAAGTCAATGGTTTAATCAAAATCAACTTTTTTTATTATGGTCATATTAGTATTTCATAATATGGTTAAATGAAGAAAAAAAATGAATCCAACTAGATGTCGCTCATTTACGATATTTCATACTCAACGACCTTGTAAGATAATATGTATTTAAATTATTTACATTTTAAATCACAGCCGGCTCCGATATTCCATAGATCAAAATTACTTTGCTGCTATTTTGTTCCTTTATTTAACATTATTGAATTTGTCATTTTTATCTAACCGACACATCCTTATATTCTTAAAAACGAAAGAAAAAATTTCATTATCTGGATACCGTATTTGATTAAATTTATCTTTATAATTAAATGAGTTACAGCCCAAAGTAAAATAAAAACAAGTATGAAAGTTTTTTATTATATCTGTTAAGTACAGGAACTAATTGAAATACCTATCTCAGATATTTATAAAAAAGTTTCCGCTCCAATTAAACAGTTATAACCTGAATCCCCCCTCGATGATAATAGTTATTTAGAGCATACAGGAGTTAAGTATTATTTACCAGTCGTGGACGTTTTTTTGCCCGAGCGGAGTGAAGGCTAGCAATAGAGTCCGAGACTGGTAAATTACAGTTAACTGATGCGTGCTGTATAACATTTTATCTGCTCCGACAGTTCTTTATGGTTCATGAAATAAAGATTAGGTTTTATTTTTTGACATTTCTTAATCAATTCATTTTGTCATTATTCGAAATCTTGCAAAGTCGCCTTGGTTGTCTGGATTTTGTCGCTTCTAAGGTATTTATAAACAAAGCTACATAAAAGTTACAATTTTGTTGGTTTTGAATTATTATTTCTAAATGAGTTGTTGCCCGAGAAGTCAAAAGTGCGCTACGGACGGGCATATAGAAATTTCAAAGAATGGTGCCAGAATAAAAATACTGGTGTTTCTGAGATGTCACTGCTAGCATATTTTATGGAGAAGTCATGAACTGTAAAGTCACCGGCGAGTTTGTGGAGTGATTAAGTCAACTATATTCATAGAGAAGAACGTGGATATATCATAATGCTGTGAGCATTTTTGAAACGTAAGAATGACGGCTATACACCTAAAAAGTCAAGTCAACAAGTCAACGATTTTCTCGTTCAGGCACCCGATAACACATTTTGCTAATGAAGGTAGTGACGGTCTTAGGTATTGCAAGAGCATGTCGTTCTGATGAGTTATGCAAACTTACTTTGAACAACGTCAATTTAAAAAATTTCGATGACATTATTGTAGTTGCAATTTCAGATTCTAAAAATCGTGTGTCACGTACGTTTACAATTACTTCTCGCCTGGGTTCTGTTTCTCATCTAGAAGTTCTCAAGATATGTATATGAAGATTAGATTGGAAATTAAAACTCAAATCTCACGCTTTTTTATGCGCTATCAAGCAGGTAGAAGTTATAACCAACTAGTCGGCAAGAATACCTTTTCCTTGATTCCTAATAAGATTGTACAGTTTTTGAAACTAGAACATCCTGAAACATATACAGGTCATTCATTCCGAAGAACATCGGCAACGTTACTGGCTAGTACAGGAGTTGATGTATTAGCAACCAAGAGCCATGGTGGGTGGAAATCAGCCATAATTACAGAAAGTTAAGTTGCTGACAGTTTAAGTAACTAAAATTCAATAGCTAACAGGATTCTTTACAATAACATTTCAACTCCAAGTTCTAGTAGTACGTCGCAACATGTTGTTATAATGGGTCAGTCAGATAATATTGAGCCTTCGATTTTGTAAATGTTACGAATTAATAAAATGTATTGTTCATCAAATATTTCTATTTATTTGTTCATAAAATATGCATTTATAACATGCAATCACTTTTTACCCTAAGGAGGTGGTAAGTTACCTCACTTATTGTCCATAGCAACTTCTACTTCTACGGTAAAATCCACTTACCTCCTCAAAAACAATGTATGTGACAAGCAGGACCGAGATTTCAACTTTTGGCCCGTGTAGTGAATACGATTTTTCTTCATACCTCGGTCGAAAGTACGTACTTTCGTCTCTAATAGCAGGGACTTCTCACAGGGATTAAATGTTAAACTTTCGTCCCTGATATTAGGGACGAAAGTACGTACTTTCGACCAAGGTATGAAGAAATAGTCTATTTACTATAGTGGGAGCATAAAAATTATGTGTACTTTTTCGGCGTCNTTCATTCATAATAATTAATAAAATGTATTGTTCATCAAATATTTCTATTTATTTGTTCATAAAATATGCATTTATAACATGCAATAACTTTTTACCCTAAGGAGATGGTAAGTTACCCCACTTACCTCCCGTTGTCCATAGCAACTTCTATTTCTACGGTAAAATCCACTTACCTCCTCAAAAACAATGTATGTGACGAGCAGGACCGAGATTTCAACTTTTGGCCCGTGTAGTGAATACGATTTTTCTTCATACCTCGGTCAAAAGTACGTACTTTCGTCCCTAATAGCAGGGACTTCTCACAGGGATTAAATGTTAAACTTTCGTCCCTGATATTAGGGACGAAAGTACGTACTTTCGACCAAGGTATGAAGAAATAGTCTATTTACTATAGTGGGAGCATAAAAATTATGTGTACTTTTTCGGCGTCGTAATGTATTCATACTTAGCCTTAAATAGTTCAATTTTTAAACATTTAAAATTTTGCAGAAAGCACTCTTTCTTAACAATGACCCGGTCAATTTCAGCGCGCAATTTGCTTCCGTAATGCTAAAAGGGAAGTAACAAAGTCTATTGGAAAACTTACGACATAGCCAATGGGTTGACCAATATTTGAACAAGATGCCGACCATTTGATAAGCAAACACGGATCTTCTCTGGGCTCGAAATCAACCTGCAAATCCTCTGGAGGCGCTCGGCGATCTATGTACGTTACGACGCTGCGGATATTATTTGGATTGATTTTGTTTTCGTTGTTGGCTGTGCTCACTGCGAAGTTGTACTTCGTACAGAATTCGAGATTTTCTATTACGGCGCTCAAGTTGGTCGTTTTTAGCTTGGGGCCTGAAACAGTTAGAGATCTGTTAGTTACCGCTTGTTTGTTCGCCAGGAGATTAATTTAAATTCTTTCCGAGGAAAAGTTACGACTTAGCGTTTTACTGTGTTGGAAAAAATACAGTCGGATCGCAAGAGCGCAGCTACATCTTGTCGTTAGTCAACGAAATTGCTCATAAAATTATTTAGATTACAGAAAATACATAATTATTTTAAACTTTGACACTAATGTTTTATAAAAGTTTAGACAACATTACAATGAACTGACAAAGTTACTGGGTGTAAAAAAGATTCTAATAACAAGAATTCAAAGGTGCTTCATTTTTTACATGCAGCTTAAAGGATACGTTTGGTATGTTGTTTGTTTGTGCGTATATACTTTCTGTCTAGTTCTTGTGATAAAGTCTTGTCAGCGGACAGTCTTAGAATAGTTCAGTATAGTTATTACCAGAGACAAAATAGCTATCGCCACAGACCGCTACTGGAATAGGCCAGCAGTTTTAAATTTCCAAATTGCCAGTAGAGTACACCACCAGCAGAATTTTAGGAAGAATCAAATGCAGCGGCCCGCATACCTACGCGTATCCTAGCAACATATAAACAAGACTTTGGTAATGTTGCCAGGCGTACTTACAGATTTCTTTTGTACACTTTTTTATCAATATCTGTTTTTTGCGTTACTGTATTTACTTAAATGTATGATGTAGGTATTGATAAAAATGTTTTTAAAGAATCAACGAATATCTATGTAGTTTCATATGATATTCTGCAGCGGTGTTACAATTAAGTTATTTAATCATAATTTCGTTAATTAGCTACCTACTATTTTCATTTTTTGGTATTGAAATACTGCAGAAAATATATTTCCAAATAAACAAAATTCGTAAT